CTTTTAGATTGTTAAGATCATGAATTATATTGATTGATTTTAACCAACCTTGCATCTCTAAAATGAAGCTGACAGCACACAATTAAAAAAATATGTATTGCTGAATTCTACTTGTTAATATTTTTACAAAAATTTTCTCTACTTTTCATTCATGAGCACTATTTCTCTGCCGGGTTTTTGTTTTCTTTTGGTAGTTTGGTATCTGTGTGTCATAATCTCATAAAATAAGTTGGGAAATGAATTCTTCCTCTTTTCTTTTTTGCTTTATTTTTGACAATCTTTACATAGTTGATAGGGCTTCTCTTATTTTCTGTATGATATTGTATAGAATTATTTTCATTCTGCCTTAACAATGTTGCTATAGTTTTCCAATGAAATCATGTGAGCCCGAAGAACTCTTTTTCCAGAGTTTTACATTTACAAGCTCAGTTTCTTTAATAATAAGGCTACTCAGCTGATCTGTTCAGCACTGGGTGAGTTGTGATAGTTTCTGATTTCTGAGGACTTGGCATCCTTCACATCCAGCTTTCAAATTCATGAGTATTCATAGTTACAGTTTGAGTATGACATCACAAGTGGAAAACCCCTCCCCTGACCTCTGGCAGTATGTCACAGTCAAAACACTTGTGCACTAAAAATACTGTGTAAAATTCTCTTCAGTCTGTGTGTATAATATGTATATGAAACATAAGTTAATTTCATTTGTAGAGTTAGGTTCTATCCTCCACCTGTTTCATCGTTTATACACAAATCTTACCAAATGCAAAAAAGTGCAATCTGAGACATTCAAAATCCCAGATATTTCAGAGAAGCTATATTTAAACTTGTTCTCCTTTATTACCCTTGTGATAACTCCAGGATTTGAAGCAATAACTCCTGTTTCATTTCAGATATTGGTAATCTGTCCTATCTCTTATTTTCTCTACCCTCTTGCTAGAAATTTGTCAGTTTCATTGATTTGCTTCAAGGTATTAGTTCTCTTTGCATCATGTCCAGTCATGCAGGGATCTCTCAGGCAGCCACATCTTCGTTTATAATTCAAACTTCTCCATCCTACTTTACATAGTTAACATTTTGTTTCAGTTGCAATTAGCCATTCCTGTGGTGTTTCCTTCCCTCTTCTATGTCCTGGCAGACATTCCATTCTGTTTAGTCATCCTCTTGGCCTTTTGAAAGGTGATCACATTTTGCTGACATCTCTCGAAACTTAGTTTAAAAAAATTTATTTATCTATTCATTTAATCAAGATTAGTTAATGCACAATTACAGAAAATAACCATTATAGCAGGAAGCATTATATCTGCATTGTAGGAAAGGTGCCTGATTTGTAAAAAAAACCCTAAAACTATTTGATAACTGTCACATTTAAATGTGTCTAGGAGTACAATGCCATAGTGTCTCTCTGTCTCTCCTCCTCTGTGTATATCTGACTTTACAATAAAAATAAATAAATCTTTGAAAAAATGCTTCCTATAAGATTGTACTCCGTTGTTTCCCAAATACTGGGTCATGATAGAATGCCCTCGTGTGGATCCATCCAGCTTGCACACAACTGTTGTCAGGGAAGACACTTCTAAATGTTAATCTGAATGATGGCTAGTTCTGGGCAATGGTGTAACTGTTGGTTTTTATTTTTTATATTTTGGATTTTTTAGACTGGGAATGTTTCAGATTTATAGCTTAAAATGTTATTTAAGAAAAGACACCAGGTCTGATGATATGTTATGATTTAGTTATTATATATTTCACCATACTTCCAAAAGGGTTAAAGCATTATGTAATATGGTAAGATACAACTGAAATACAAAACAAGATGAAGCATCAGGCAAAGAGGCAAATGCAATGGGAGGGAAGTTGTGTGGTGACACTGCCAAACATTTATCAAGCCTATCTCATATTTTTATTGTTTTTTTTTCTTTTAAGAAAAAAAAGTCCTAGATTGTGTTTAGTTATGAGTCTAATAGGTAAGATTTGGTTTGTAAAACAAAGTCAACATTTTAGAATGTTATATTTCTAACATTATTTACGTAGTTGAGAGGGATGCACCCCATGTGAGTCTCTCATTAGAGTGGGGAGGATTGAGGTGTGGAGTAAGATGGGTAGGGCAAATGCTTCATTTTTTTTCCTTTTGTGTCTACGGGGAGAGGAGGGGAAGGAGGCACTCCTTGCTGTCAAACTACATCAGCACCTGGGGATGGAGGATGATCATTTGATGATGCCTGAGAGACCCTAATGTGGGGAAGAGTGTTCTGAGGGTGTTACAGGAGTTTGTTTTTTAGCTGACGAGCTTGAGTGGTTTCGATAGCTCTGAGACATTGTTGGCTTTATTACATTAGGGCTGAGAAAAATCTTCCCAAGGTCTATTGGCTAACCAGGACCGTGTTAGTGCATCTACAGACCCAGACACTTGCTACAAAGCTTGACCAGGAGGATTCTGCTGGTCCAACCTGTTCTGCTTTCCATCCTCTGATGAGGCAGTTCTTGTCCCCTACTAGACTAGATGAGCTGGCCACCGCATGCCCTATGTACATCTGTGTGTGTTGTTCACTGCACGGGCTTCAGGTATGAAGCAGCACAGTTCTAGCACATGCACTCCAAGGTCACACCACATATCCTGTGATTTTCCTTGTGGCCAGGGTCTGCGTCCAATCATCTAGTTGCAGAGTCCTCCAAGAACCCTCATCTGGGGTGACCTCAGGCTTGACTCTTGTGTGTGCCAGCCATTGCCGTGTCACTTACACCAGCCAATGCACATGCCAGTGGATGCAGCTGCCTGGTCAGTTCTACCCAAGCCCCATCTATTACATGAACTGATGGGTATGTGGCCTAGCTCAACCCAGCCTGCCACAAGCTCAGTCTTTACACACACCAGTGGGTGCCATGGCCTAGTCAGTGTGACCCCCCCAAACTCCCACCAACCCAACTCCACCCCTGATTTTTGCATGAGCTGGCATGTGGTGTGGCCTAGCCTGGCCTAGCCCATATCCCTTCGAGCTCTCATGTACACCTGTGGGTGCTGCAGCTCAGTTCAGCCTGCCCCACCCCCAGACCCAGTCCATATGCTTGCCAGTGGGTCCTGCTGCCCTGACAAGCCCAGTCCACCCCTAGCCATGGCTCTTGTGCTCACTAATATGAGCAGACCAACAGAGGGGAGCCCACAGTTTACCTACCAGATATGCTCCCAGACCTGAGTTTTACAGATGCCAGTGGGTACTGCAGCTCAGTCTGAAATGGTCCTCCCCCAGTCTCAGCATTCACCAGCAGGTGCTACAGCCTGGCTCAGCCTGGCTCACCCCAGCCCTCATGTGAGCTGTCAGGTATTTGGGCCCAACCTGGACTGGCCTACATTCCATCCTGGCTCTTGGTGTTTCAGTATATGCTGTGTTCTGACCCAGCCTGGCCCATACCTAGACCTGGTTCACTTACACCAACAAATCATGTGGTCTGGGTCTGGGGACAGGCCAAACTGGGGTAGGCTCCATCACCCACTGGCACTCATAAGAGCCAGAATGGGTGTAGGACAGGCTGCGTTAGACTGCGTTATCCACTAAGTCACATGAGAACTGGGTCTGAGTATGGGCCAAGCTGAGTTAGGCTGTAGCATCCACTGGGAAAAGCTAGAACAGGTGTGGGTCAGTTGGGGTGGGCCACAGTGTCTACCAGTGCATACCTGAACTACAGGCCAGCCATGACAGGCTGGGACACAGCACATGCCAGCACATGTGAGATCTAATGATAGGAGTGGGCCTGGTAGGAGAACTTGAGGAACTCCCTGCTAGGCTGCAGCTCCTGTTGGTGAGCTCGAAAGCCAGGTCTTGGGGCATGGCAGGCCACACTAAGCTGCAGGATGCTATGTATTGCAGTCTTGCCCAGCATGGTTTACACCCAACCCTCTCTCTTGCACTCAACAATGGGACCCAGAGCCCAGTTGGGGGAGTCCCCAGAGTTCTTCTAACAGGCCTGTTCCCAGTCCTAGATATTATGCATGTTGGTGCATCAACCCAGCTTAGCATGGCCCACCCAGTCTGTGCTCTTGCCGGCATGTGTTGCAGCCTAGTCCAACCAGGCAAGGTGCATACCCTGTCCTGGCTCTTATGCAGACCAGCAGATGCTGCAGTTGGCCTAGTCTGAGCTGCTTCCAGACCTGGCCCACAAAAAATGCTGACAAGTACTGCACCCTGACATGGCCTGGCTCACCCCCAGCCCTAGATATTCTGCCCCCCAGCAGGAGCCTCTCCCCAGCAGGGGAGTTCTTCTACCAGGGTCAGAATCTCGCGTGTGGTGGGGGGTGCTGCATCCCTACTTATCATAGTTTGTCCTCACTCTTGGCCTTTGCATGTGTCAGAGGTTGCTCAAGCCTGACTTAGCCCAGTCTCCTCCTATCCCCATCTCCTGTGAGTGTCAGGTGGGTTCCTGTCTAGTGAGTTCTGTGCTCCCGCCTGGCTAGCTTGTTGCCACTCCCAGGTCTCCATGCAAACTAGCAGGTACTGCAGTCTCACAGAGGCCAGACCACAGGTACCCTACAGAATCTAGCCCCAGATCAATACCTCCCCTGACCTATATAATACTGTTTGCCTACATGTCAATTAAATGACCCCTTTCTAAGGGTGTACTCACCTTACTCCAGGACTTGGAGATGGTGTTCCTCTTCCCAGGCTCACAAGAAGATAGGCAACAGGGAAAGGCTCCCTCTCTCTTTCTGTGGGGTACAGATGAGAACAGAAACATCACTCTCCAACTTTTCCCTTCTATGCCCATTCTACCTCTTAATGCAGACCTCTTGTGTCTATAATTTCCTCACCTTTTTAGTACAATTTACAAAAACAAATCTTTTTTGTAAAAAAAAAAAAGCAAAAAAAAATGAGGGACCTGGAAAAGATAATCTGTTTTTGACCACTTGTATATATATGTGTACATATACAATATATATTGATCTATGTTATGTAATGCTCGTGGTAGACTTATATGATATTAACATAATTTTTATGTATTTTTCACAGAAAGACCTCTTTCCCCCAAGGCTGTCAAAGGATTTGATCCTGCTCCACTTACTAAGAATTATTATACTGTGGTGAGTGTTAAGATGATGAACAAAACTTTTCTTATTTCAATGTAATATTTTCACTTATCAAACCACTGATGTGTTGAGGAGACAAGGAAAAGAAATGGGTAAATTTGCATTGAGACATCCAATAGCATTTGTGTTACAGTGGAACACTTCTATTTGTAGGCTTCTTATGACTATCTGGAAGTTTAACATCTACTAAACTGAAAAATTCATGCGTAGCAGAAAGCTTCAAAGCAAGGGCTATTAAATAGCATTGAAAGAGAATTTGGTTTATATGGAGGCATACTGAAATCAGCATGGGCCTGTGTTGTGGTGTAACAAGTTAAGCTGGCATCTCATAATGGTGCCAGTTCACATCCGGGATGCTCCACTTCCAATCCAGCTCCTTGATAATGTGTATGGGAAGTCAGCAGAAGATGACCTAAGTTCTTGGGTCCCTGTATGCATGTAGGAGACCTGGATGAAGCTTCTGGTTCTGATCTGGCCCAGCCCTGACCGCTGTAGCCATTTGTAGAGTGAACTAGCAGATGGAAGATCTTTCTCTCTGATTAGCCCTCTCTCTTTGTAACCATGCATTTCAAATATATAAAATTAAAATTAAAACTAAAGGTTTCAGTAATTTGACATAGCCTCACCAGAAACTTAAAGGGTGAATCCTAAATTCCTGTAACACAGTAAGTTTTAAGTGATTATATTCTGTAATTTTACTTTAGAATCAAGAAATCCATTATTTTATCTTCTGGAATATTATCAACCATATCCTTGAGGACATTCCCAAAGGAAGCCTGCCCTTTGGCACAGAGGAAGGAATGAAATTACTCTGGTCTGAACATAGATATGCCAAAATATATTAGCTATAAATAGGACATTTGCAATAGTCAAAATAAATTCCTGCTTGAAAAATGGATTACATCATTCTACTCAATCTACACTGTGTTTTCCTTCATTTCTCCTTTCTGTACTTGGCACAGTTGCTAATTAAATGAAAAGGTCAAGCTGTAATTATCTCTAACTTGCCCTGTTTGGTAGCCTCATTATTTTTCCCACTCTTGCTGAATTCCAGTATCAGTGTTTACTCAGTGTTCTATGAATTTGTATGGGTTTCTCCACATGTACGCAGGTCCCCTTTGCATCAAAAGCACCTGGAATCTTGTTAATAGTGCAAATGTCTGGCCCTTATACATGACTTTGCATCAAAATATCTGGTCATGGATTTCAGAAAATAACACACCCCTTCCTCATGACACATAGGCAGTTATGGTACTCACTTCAATTAAATTTTGCAAACCAATAAAGGGAAAAGTTGAATAGAGGAGGTAGGATTCATGATACACCTTAGGGAAAGTTCAGAATTAGATAAACAGGAGAGCTGAAAGAGAATTAAAGGCAAGGGGAATTATGAAAACAAATCATCCCAAGCCAAAATGTCCATGCCTACTATTCATACAGGTCACAGAATAGAACCATTCTGTTCCTTAAGTATCAAAATGTTCATTGGAAGATGAAATTTTTTATTCACTGCAACTATTGCTGCACTCAGTAGTAAATCTAATCTTTATGTACTCAGAGATGGGACAGGAGAGGACAGATGTTTGACACAGTGGTTAAGATGCCACTTGGGAGATCCCACATCCCTGATGCGATATGCTAGGTATGAGTCTTGGCTCTGTTTCTGATCCAGCTTCCTATCAGGGAGTGTCCTGGGTGGGGGATGGGGGCAACAAGTGATGTCTCCCTTGGAGGAGATCCTCATGGAGTTTCAGGTTCTTGGATTCAGCCTGGCTCAGCTCTGTCTATTGTTTACATTTTGAAACTGAACTAGTGGATGGCGATGGAAGATGTATCTCTCTTTCTCTCTCCCTCTCTCTCTCTCTTCCCCCCCACCCCACCCCCATCATCCTGCCTTTCAAATAAACTTAAGTAAGCCAGAGTCACAATCATATTAATACTCAACTCTGGGGTTGAGTATCTGTCTGCAGAGTGAGGGATATTTCCCTGTATCCAAATAGGAAGCCATAAATCTGTGAGGATCAGTACTATTTATTTTGTTCTAACTTTTTTCCCCCTACTTTATATATAACTCATGAGAGATGCCTAAAGGGCATGTTGAACAGAACTGACATGCAGTAGGAAAGGTGGGAGGGAGGCCCTGACAAATTAAATCAATAAATCCCAGGAAACCTACTGAAACTCATACTGTAACCTCCCTCCCCCTCACCTCCATTTTCTCTCCCATTCATTGCTCTGTCTACTCTCCTATTCTTTCTACCTATCTAACGATCATCACTCTTTTTATGCAACTAGTCTGTGTTATCTTACTTAGCTATCCATTGCTTCTCTCCTCTGTATATGCTATTTTCTTTCTTTGAATCTACCCTTTTGCTGTGTCACTGCTTGGCATCTCTTCCATCTGAAGGCTGGAGGTAGAAAAACGACAGGGTTTTGTGGAGTTAGTGAGTCTATCTCTTGATAATGGGGGGCAGTGTTTGTTTTGTGGAAGCCAATGACCTGAGAGCATGAAATCAATCACTATACTTGAATGTGCACAGGCAGTTCTACTGGTATATAAATCAAATATGACATAAATACAGTAGTATTTTGCCTTTTAAGCCTCAGAGGGCTTTGTCAACATTAACTCATTTTTACAGGCATCAGAATTATCTGAGAATTCCTATAATGTGATATTTTTGCCTTGCTTGAATGTTTCCTGGGGTCCTTGTAATTTTTCTTTATCATTCCTTTATTGTTAACTTCAACCCAATGTTGTGTATGCACATTAGCCTCTTAAAATAATTTCTTCATACTTATCTGACTCTTCCCTTTGGGAAAACATGTTTATAAAGATGGACTCACTCTAAAGCCTTTCTGGGAAATAGAGGAAATGTATTTTACCGGAAAATCAATATCCCACGATGGAGTTACAAAAGGCCTTCCCCTCTTTTTCTATGGCTTCTTACAACCTGTTTAATTCTGAATTCGGGCCAAGACTAGTTGAGCAAAAGGATATTCAGTTGTCCTTGTGAAGACGGAGTGAGGGAGGCAAAGACAGCCTGGACACAGTCTATTTTAGCAAGTCTGAATTGATTTCATCTTGATCAGATTGTGCTGCTCTGAAGTTGGTTGGCCTGCCAAACTCCTTGCCTTCTGAGTCACCACTGAGGCCTTCTGTTTGAGAATACATTGGCTTCTCTGTCTGGTTGCTTCTTATCCTTTTAAATTAGATGCCCTGTGGCCTGAAAAATAAAGAATCTGTCTCAGAAGTTTATCACTTGGTCTTTTGAAATTGAGGAAAGCAATAAAGTCTGTGTGAATCTGGGAAAGAATCTCAAGCATCCATCCTGACGAGCATTTCTGCTAATCACATCATACTCAGGAGTGCTTTTATTTATGAGAATACCATTCAAATATGATTTCTTGGGCAGAATTGGATAAAAGGACCTTTTCACCACCTTTGTCATTTTAGTGCAGTAAGTATGCTTCCATTTTCAAAACTTGCAATCATGATAATGTAGCATACAGTTCCCTATAGCTCTCCAGAGGTCACTCACAGTAGGAACTATCTGCCTGCCCGTGTTCTTCACCTCTATCTTGTCTGTCCTATGCCAGTGGCTCTAGTAGAGATAGCATCCTGAGAAAGTGTGTTGCCTTACCACATGAACAAGTCTGACAGAGCAGGTACTGATCATTCTTAACAGTTCCTAGCAATTGTGTATAAATGAGGTCCAGCTAATATATTAAAAGAAGTTGAAATAAGCAAGCTATCTTGATGAGAAAAGAAGGAACTATATCAACCATGGGACTAAAGTAATGTTTAGCTGCCTTAAAAGTCACATTTTATCATGAAAATTATATTTGTGATTTTTCTAATTTAAGAATTCTCTTCAGGTGGACACTCGATGTAGTGGTTAAGATTCCAGTTGGACGGTCCCTGTGCTTAGTGCCAAAAGTCCTCTCCTTACACACGCTGGGATCCCATATGGGTGCCTATTTTTGTCCCAGCTGCTCCACTTCCCATCCAGCTCCCTGCTGGTGGCCTGAGAAAGCAGTTGAGGACGGCCCAAAGCCTTGAGACCCTGCACCTGTGTGGGAGACCCGAAAGAGGCTCCTGGGTCCTGGCTTCGAATCGGTTCAGCTCCAGCCATTGCGTTCACTTGGGGAGTGAATCATCGGACGGAAGATCTTCCTCTCTCTGTCTCTTTGCTCCTTTCTGTATATCTGACTTGCCAATGAAAATACATATTAAAAAAAAAAAAAGATCCTAGCTGGACACCAGCATCTCATATTGGAGTGTCTGGGTTCAAGTCTCAGCTCTAGCCCGACTCCAGCTTCCTGCTCACGTGCACCTTGGGAAACTACAGGTGATGGCTCAGGTAGTCTGGTCTCTTCCACACACATGGCAGAACTTTGTAGAATTCCTGCATCATGTCTGTCTTTCATTTAGTTTATGCATAAGCACACATGAGCATATACAGATGTGAAATGAAACACATTGTTGCTATTATGATGTTTAAATAAATTTCTGCTAGCTCAAGAGTAATAAAAAATTTTTGTTTTATTTTCACTTATTCCTTCTCTAAGTATTCTTCCCTTCTTTATGTAGATCTGATTAGGCCTAACAGTGATATATTCCTTCTGTTTTTACTTATTTAAAAGTGTATTTCTTCATTTCTGAACGATACTTTCACAGAAATCATCATCAGATTAATTTTTTTCAGATTAATTTTGCTTCAGTAACTGCAAATTCCTAGATTTGCATCTTTGGAGAGTAATTGCTAAGCATCTGAAGTTAGACAAGACTGACTATAAATAGGAGCTCCAACTTAACTCCCAGCTTTAAAGAAAAAAAGTTTTACTTTTGTGAAACGCAGAGTGTTGAGGGGCAGTGATTGGGGGAGAGATGAAGAGTGAGAGAGGGATAGACATCTTCCTTCCATTGATACACTCTCCAAATGCACTCAACGACTGGTACTAGGTCAGGCAGAAACCAGGAGCCAGGAACTCCT